ATCTTGACGTCAAATATCATACTTCATCATCATCTTCCTGCCCTTGTCCCGTTTTATTTGGGGTCGGCGCAATATGTTTTTTTCACGATATCGCTAACTCCTCTGTCTTCCATATCACTTCTCACACAATCCATCCATATTTTCTTTGGTCTCCCCCTCCCTCTCCATCCATCCACATTTATACTCATGACTTTTTTTGTTACATGCTTTTCATCCCTCCTTTTCACATGGCCATACCAAGACAAACGGTTCCCTTTCAACTTTTCAGTCACTGGCACCACTTTCAAACTTCCTCTAATATACTCATTTCTCACTTTATCCATTCTCGTCACACCACACATCCATCTCAGCATTCTCATCTCTGCTACATGCAATCGCTTTTCATCCGTCTTTTTCAGAGCCCAACATTCTGACCCATACAGTAGGACAGGCCTTATCACTGACTTGTAGATTTTACCCTTCAACCTGAGGGGCATCCGTGGGTCGCAAGTTGTTCCAGTGACCTGTCGCCATTTCATCCATCCTGAGTTGATCCGATGTGCCACGTCTCGGTCTATCTCACCATTTCCTTGGATAAGCGAGCCAAGGTACCGAAAATCAGAACAGGTTGGTATGGGCGTTCCGGCGAGAGCTATGGGCACAGAACTAGAGAGACCGCCAAAATCGCAGAACAAGTACTCTGTTTTAGTTCTGCTCAATTTTAGGCCAACACTCTCCAGTCTTTACCACCACACCTCCAATCTGCTCTGGACCTCTAGGGCACTCTCGGCAACCAGCACAATATCATCGGCAAACAGCATACACCAGGGAGCCTCTTCCTGAATGTCCGACGTCAGAGCGTCCATTATTATCAGGAAGAGGTAAGGGCTGAGAGCCGACCCTTGGTGTAAACCGACAGCCACATTGAACTTGCTAGTGGTCCCGCTGCCGACCGGACTTGTGTACTGCAGCGACTATACATTGATTAACTGCACATACTTCCCAGGCACACCTTTCTCCTTAAGGGCCCACCACAGAACCTCACGAGGTACCCGGTCGTATGCCTTTTCGAGGTCAACGAATACCATGTGCAAGTTTTTATGTGCACCTCTGTATTTTTCGCACAACTGGCGTATAGCAAATATGGCATCCGTTGTACTACGACCAGGCATAAAACCGAATTGGTTCTGTGAAATGTCACTCTCTTCTCTCAGCCGCCGTTCAATAACTTTCTCCCATACTTTCATAGTATGCGACATTAGCTTTATTCCTCTATAATTGTTGCACTCAAGGACATCACCTTTGTTTTTAAAGATGGGCACCAAAAAACTGTTGCACCATTCATCAGGTATGGTTTCTTCCTGCAACAATTTATTGAAGAACAAAGCCAACCACAAATATAAATATCATACTTATTTCGGACAAATTTGCTGTGAAAATTTAAAATTAAATTAAATAATGAACTCTATCAATAAAAGTATGATTATAATAATTTTTAAATAATTTATTGTAAGTATGCTTAGTAGTATTTTTTTTTTTTTGTTGACTTCGGAAACTACCCAAGTTTATTATTTTATTAGAGAGGGTTACTAACGACCTCAGTGTCAACCAGTTCCAGCATCGAAAATGTGTTTGAAACCGAGTTTCCTCTCTACTTTCTTATTTTTTATTTGTAAGCACATTCTCATAACAATAACACACACACACAACAATAAAATAATTGGCAAAGTTGATCCAGGTGTTGTTGAGTTATGCGCTTACCAACACATTTAGAGTTTTATTTTTACATTATACTAGCTACTCTCGCGCGTTTTCACCCGCTGCTTAGCTCCCACAGATCGAAGCGTGATGTTTTATAGCCTATATATATACCTATATAGTAAGGATTTCATATACTTAAAAAAATATAAAGATATTTGAATTTGGAATGGGGTTAGAGGGGAATTAGGCTTCCAGTAACCTCATTAACACAACACACAACGCAAGTTCTGGTCCACGTCAATATATTCGTATCTGCCATCAATACACGGTATAATTCCATAAAAGTACTTTCGAAAACAATATACACAAAAACAACGTTGAACAAAATGCTTCGTAACCCGATATTATTACATCAACATCAGTTAATTGAAGGTCATTGCCATGTAATTGTATCAATGTACATAATATATATACAAATTGTTCATGTGATTGACTGATGACACAGAAGCCTTCTAAAATTAAAATAAAAGTAGTATTTAGTGAAACACGAACAGCAAAGAAATGATTTTGCGTTTGTACCAAGTAGTTGGGTAAAAAACAACGGATTTTCCATACTTACCGGATGCTTTGAACGATAAGATACCTATAAAAATAAATGCATATAATTCCAGCTGTTTTGTATATCTAAGCACTGAGCCATATTGGTGTTTGTATGTGGAAGATTTATAAAAATACTGTTCTGAGGTTACTAGCTTCCGTGCGCGCTTTGCTCGGCGGTATGTTGATCCAGATCCATCCAGCCGTTTTGGCGTGATTGACATCGTAACTTTTGCATTTATAGTATTAGTAATGTATGATATATTTGTATTAAAAAATGCTAATCCTAGACACGAGTTAAGCCACCTAAAATGGCGTATTAAAATGGCTCTAAATGTTGTGATAAAATTATTTTGATATAATTTTATTTCAATTAGTTGATAATTAAAAAAAAACTGGTAAGAAATTCATGTACATATAACGCTGTTATAAATAAATTTTAACATTCTATTATTAGGTCTACTTCTTGAGAGCTACGTAAGAAAATCACTCAAATCTCAATCAACTACGTGAGGATTGAGGAGTCCCATCAGTTTTTTTAAATCTGATTTCACTATTATTTAGCAGCAATGTAGCCTATTTTGAATCTAAATCACAGATGAAATAATAGATAATTCTTATTTTGTACCATAAAACTAAGTAATCACTACGTAATATAAAATAAAGTCGCTTTTTTATCTGTCCTTATATCCCTATATTTGCTCAAATATTTAAAACTACACAACGGATTTTGATGCGGTTTTTTTAGTAAATAGAGTGATTGCAAAATGATCGATTAGCTGTTGCAATTTGTATGGGTAAATAAATTAATTTTTGAGATTTCGATATTGGTCTCATTGAAAACGTTGTTGTAGTTGAGAACCAAAATAGGCTTCTAGAATATGTTTCACGTTCAAAATACAAAATGCAAATTAGCATTAGCATTGCATCCGTGTGGGGCACGGGCTGGTCGATACTTAAGTATGTAAGGATTAGATGACCATTGAGCAAGTGTGGTGGACTTCGAAGGTGGCTGATGAAACCTCTCCATTAAAATTGTAAATAGGTTTTTTACACCATATTTTTTATTCTCATGCTACGGAGAAATATATTTTTTACTATCAATTTATCAGTATCCAGATTTTTCGCATTAAATAAAATTGGATGGCAAAGTTGAGAGTAACTGCTAGTTTTAAAATAGGCTCTCTTCACACCTGTACATTCCTATTAACATTTACTAACAAGATCCAAAATATTTGTGAGAACACTTCGTTTATTATCAATAAAACTTAGTGAAAGTGAAAAGATTCAAACGTGATCGTTATTATGTCACATACAGTTGGTTCATTTTATTTTTTATTTAAAACTTGTTAGTTTTCCGGTCAACGCCCTTCATTCTCGTAACATTTTCCGATGTTGCAACTTGGTCCCCACAACATTGGCGTCTATTTTTTAAATTCAATTTCAATTTATAGCGACTTTATTTTTTTAATACATATTATTATACACACTATCGAATACAAAGTGTGGGAGAGCCAAGCTTCAGCACGAATGGGTCGGCTCGACCGGAGTGACACCACGGCCTCACAGAATACCGGCGTGAAACAACCCAGCGTTGTGTTTCGCCGTGTGAGTGAGGTTACCGGAGGCCCAATCCCTCCCCTTCTCCTATCAATTACACTCTCCTGCAAATGATAAATAAAAAATTTGGAAGATTTTTCTCACATAATTTATTTCAGAAAGAAATATATTCCAAACGCTTTGTGTCTGTGTTTGATGGTTTTCAAATTTAAAATCATAGTCTCATAGTCGATACATTACTAACATCACGTTACATATATATTTATAAAATAATGTTAATACTTACTCCGACAATTCTTAAAAGAAATGGGAATCCGATGATATATGATGATTACGTGAGTTTTTAAAATTTCCCTCATAAATAAGAAAGTTTTATTCGATTGTATGATAAATGCAACGTTATGGGACATGTTTTATTGTTCTGTTTGAATAACTTACATCTGGGAACAAAAACTTATTTTTCAATATGTCTTAGCACAAACCAGAACGATGCATTCATAATTTCTGTAAGCTTATTTCCAGAAGTAAGTCAATATAAATTATACCTGATGAGAATTTAAATAAAAAAAAAACAGGGTTTTTGTAGTATATGGACGTTGTAGAATGTAGAACAAGTTTTTGACATACATATTACTAGAAACAACTATAACAGCCCAAACAGCTCCCATTACAATAGGTTCCGTGGGGTTTAGTGACTGGGCTCCCCCAGTTGTAAAGTCTCGTTTGTGCCTTTGAGGCTTAGTTCGTTCTTTCTCCTATATTAAAATTATCGAAAGAAGGGGAAACTCTTCTTTTTCTGGTTTATTTTGTTCCAAACCCAAGACAGTGAAGTCAGCCAGTCAGTGTTTCACTGTCACCATGGTTGTCTCAATGGTTGGCCCACAAGAGTAGAGTGCAGCAGTTATGGATGGCTGTGGCGGACTTGTCCCATAAAAAAAGTTTGTCAATATTGTAGGTAAACAAAACTCGATTTTGCTTCAAGTCTGTGCATAAAAATAAATGTGTCAGCACTCTTAGAAATACATGACTAAAAGCAATTATCCTAGAGCGTAAAATAACACATAAACAGCTTGCAATCCTGACCGCTGATAAAATTTAATTGAAGTCTTCAGAACGTTTAAAAACCCCTCTTCGGTAGACCTGCCGTTCTTTACTAACAAACCATGCATCGGTTAGCTACTTTTACTATACTCCTGACTTCAATAGCTATGGTGTATACAGATTGTGACAATGAAAGTGATAAAAGTGGATATTCCGACTCTTGGAAACCTATCCCAAGTGTTTACGAAGACCGAGTGAAACCTGCCAAGGTCACGCCAAAATACGACGACAAATACATTCACAATGCCGTAGGAAAACCGTATGGTACCCCTCCGTATATTCAAGGAATATACACGTTTCCCTATTACGCGTACGGTGAGATTAAGCCTGTTTACCAACCATTGTATAACCCCTATCCACCTTACTACAATGGCGATTTCTACATTAAAAAAGAAGATAAAAATAAGCCTTATGTACCGTATTATAAGAATTAATATCAAGTAAGTAGTCTTTTTACAAGCTTTTCTTATTCAAGGTTATAATTACACTGACATCAATTTACACTATGTAGGCCTTATAATAAAACTTTGTTTCAAATGTTTACGTTGTACGTTCAAAATATTTAAGGTACCTACTTATGCTAATAGGCATTCATTGCCGTCTTAATTATTAAGATTCTAAATTTGTACTAACCTGTCTGTGTTTTCCAAAGCCAAAAGGTCAATAAAATACTTATACTTTACCTTATTCTTTTTATTTGTTTTAACCTATTAAGTATTGTTATAGGGATGGTATGCCTATCGTTATCTATAATCAGCGTGTAATTATCTGATATCTGACAGTGAGTCTCTTCTAATACGAAGAAGGAAAGCATTAAGTAATCACCATGCTACATCAAGGCAGATTTGCAATTTAAAAATTAAAATAAAAAATGAGTCAATATTTCACTATGTTACCTTCTCCGTGTTACAATGATGTCCTAAAAATCTAAGAAATGCGAAAAAAATCACGTTAACCTTGAATTCCATTGTGTATTATATGCCTATTACCCTGATCTTTTTCTGACTTAGGTTTGTGTCAGAATTTCAAAACCTTAAGTGTGGGAGAGCCGTGCTTCGGCGCGAATGGGTCGGCTCAACCGGAGTGACAATACAGTACCACGACAGAAAACCGGTGTAAATAAATTACAGCGTTTGTTTCGCCGTGTAAGATTACCGGAGGTCCAATCTTTCCCGTCCCCCAATCCCTTATCCCCAAAAGGCTCTCGTAACTCATCTGTTGCTGCGGCTGTCCATGGGTGGCGCTACCTCTGGGTGGTACGCAGTTTGGAACGCTATTTGGTGTAAGATAATATATAGGCTGGCTTATCACAAATCTAAGAAATGCTAGGCCTGGAGCAGAAGAAGGAACGGGTGGTTTTTGGTCAGGAAAAGTCTGACATCTACATTCACATGAAACACACAGACATGAAATCTATTTGTGTGTGCATGTTTAAGCATACCTTGCAACAGTACTGGCAGCTTCTTGATATTATTTATTACATTGGAATGTCAAAAGATTAATAAATAAAAACTATTGAATTTTTAAAATAACGAATTATCCAATTATTGTATTCTTCCATTATTACATATATAAAAAAAACATACACATAAATATTTATGATCAAAGACGGACGCAAATAATTTGAATTCAATGTTTTTCCATAGATATAGGTTGTTTTTTAATTAATCCTGTTTTTCTATAAGCGACTAGATTGGAATCAATTTATTTATAACTTAGTTATTTATTAGCATGTGGATTAAACTATTATAACGACTGAATTGCTAATTTTTTCATCGTTGAGCCTCGGAAACGGCTAGATCGACTTCATTGTTATGTTCATGAAAGTCCAGGGGAAACGTGGACCTTTCGTCAACCCAGGGCCGCCGGGCTCGCGGCAGGCGCAGCAGCGGTAAGACCGCTCTTTGAGTTGAGGTGTGGCTATATGAACCCCTCACCTTCTTTCTACTTTCTACCCAATGCAGGTGCTTTCCGGACATGGTAATTTCGAAAGGTACCTGTTTCGGATCCAGGAGTTGTATGTGTAATTTTATTTTACATACATTGACTGCTGGCTCCTTGAAGAAATTTTATGTCAAATTAAATTTACATACAATACTCCTAACACTACACTACTTAACTCAATTAACTCAAAAAAAAAATCCAAAAAAAAAAAATTTTTAAGTCATTTTTTTCTTTTTTAACCTTGTGCTCCACTCTAGGATTTTCTCCTGTATCGTGGGTGCATTTACAAACATACAATTTCAAATGAGCAACACATCCAGACCCAAAACAACAATTTGTGGATCACACAAAGAGAACTTTCACAATAATTTGAATATTATTATAGTACCAATCTTAACACATTCAGTGCCCCCGACGCGTATGTGCGTGCGAGGAAACGCACATACGCGTCGGGGGCACTGAATGTGTTAAACAAGTAAGTACCTACACAGTTGGGCACATCAGTATCAATATTTCCGATGTTAGCTCCATATTGGTGAATATCGGTTTTGCAAATCATTGTAGTGAAAATGAAAATACTATTTTGAGGATGTTTGGACTGTTTGTTTGTTGATCTTGTTACTTATGTGATGTTATTTTGTGGTTACACGTGCCATTCTTCTCTTTAGGTAGGTACTCACGTGTGATGTAGGCAATATTATACAAATACATCTTCAATATACTTAAGCGGTTTAAGAATGTATTGATCATCGCTCCCAATACGTACATATGTACTCCATTGTGATTGAGAGGTCACAAGCAAAAAGTGTTGCTGTTTTTAGGCGTTTTTTTTTTGTTGTCGTTATTAAATTGATATCGATTATTATTTGAAAGAGTTTGAAAATGGGTAGCTTACATAATCGAATTAGGTTGCTAAGTAAACTGCTGGATATAAGGATTATTTCTTTTCTTTTTCTTTTTAAGAAAAACGTTTCCCCACTTTCGGATTTTCTCCTGTGTTGTGGGTGCGTTTACTAACATACAATGTCACATACACATGACACCCAGACCCGATACAACAATTTGTGGATCACACAAAGTGTTGATCCGTGCGGGAATCGAACCCGCGACACGTTGCACGGCAGCCAGTTGCCCAGCCACCGCACCAACTGTGCAGTCAATTATAACTTGAAGGTAAGTTTTTATTGGAAAAAATGACTGCTTTTTCGTTGATTTCTTTTAACACGCTGTTATTTACCGTGTATCTCTCTGTATGTGTAAAAGAATGATACGTTTTAAATTCCGATCTTTACTTACATTTTATTTTAATGTGCTAACTGCATTCATGAACATATGTTTTAGCAAAAATATATAGGTATTACCCCTTAATCTTATTTACACTTCATATATAATTTCCATGAAACCTTGACTGATTACTTCAAGTGAAATAACAATGTAATAACTTAATAACTTCGTGATTCTTACTCGTGAATGAGTCAACAACCACAAGTCTTATTGAGACAGACGCACCGTAATAATTATTTAATTAATATTTAACCTCGAAACAAAAATATGCAAAACTTTATAGACTATAAAACTCTGCACTTATTATCAACTCAATAGCTCTGTAAAATCGAAGTTCGAACGTCATAGGGGGTGTCCTCAGCGATGCGGTTTTTGGACCGGTTATTTACTTGTTTCTTTTTTTTTATGTAATAGGTCGGCAAACGGGCAGACGGATTACCTGATGGTAAGCAATCAGCGCCGCCCATGGACACCTGCAACGGAGGAGTTACGAGTGCGTTGAGGACCTTTTAAGGATTAGGGATTTGGAAATTTAGGGATTGAGGAGGGATTGGGGGAGGGGAAGAATTGGGCCTCCGGTAACCTCACTCACACGGCGAAACACAACACCGTGGTTGTTTCACGCCGGTTTTCTGTGAGGCCGTGGTATCACTCCGGTCGAGCCGAACCATTCGTGCCCGAAGCATGGCTCTCCCACACTTAACTTGTTTCTATAAAATCTTACTAGTAAATACACATATGTTGCTCGAGCTGGGTCCACTACAGGGATATAATAGATCTTAAAGCTTGATCAGAGTCGAGTACGAGAAGAGGAGGAAAGAAACCACGGCCTCACAGGAAACCGGTGTAAAATAAGGCGTGTGTTGTGTTTCATTGTGTATGTGAGGTTACCGGAGCACCAAACCTTTCCCTCTGTCCCACCATGACCCTAAATACCCAATCTCATTTTTTTCCATCTTCTTTTATTCTCTCATCCTTAAATATGCACTCTGCTTTGAAGATTCCGCATCATAATTAAAATTTTCGTTGAAACAAAATACACTTCTACTATGTATTTATAAATAGCTAAAAGATTGCCTTAAAGATGGCAGCTATACCTCCCAGTCAAATAGAAGTCAAACAACAACAAACAAGTTTCTACCTAATACAGTTCTAAAAATAGACAGTTAATAATATTTTACGATGATTCTTGTTATTAGATAAGCTTTTTAGTAAAGCAAGTCATTAAATTACAGTCATAATGTTACTGGCCATAAAACCACCCCATTCTTATTTGTTCCGATGCAAGGCCGTGGTAATTTAAGCACTTCAAACCATTACGTGTGGCCCCAGGCAAAGATAATATACATATATGTCTAGCGCTTTTCTTTTATTTAATCGGTCAGAAAACGATCGAATGGATTAACTGATGGTAAGCAAGCAGCCCCAGACCTTTTGGGGATTAGGGATTCGGAGATATTAGGATTGGGGAAGGGAATGATTGGGCCTCCGGTAATCTAACTCACATAGTCGTAAAACACGACGACACGACGCCGTGGTTGTTTCACGCCGGTTTTCTGTAAGGCTGTGGTATCACTCCAGTTGAGCCGAAGCATGGCTGTCCCACACTTTCATTGAAAATCAGAATATTCGTCGCTGGCGTATATTCCTGTGTAGGTACTTACTTGTTTAACACATTCAGTGCCCCCGACGCGTATGTGCGTGCGAGGAAACGCAGGAATATACGCCAGCGACGAATATTCTGATTTTCAATGAAAGTGTGGGACAGCCATGCTTCGGCTCAACTGGAGTGATACCACAGCCTTACAGAAAACCGGCGTGAAACAACCACGGCGTCGTGTCGTCGTGTTTTACGACTATGTGAGTTAGATTACCGGAGGCCCAATCATTCCCTTCCCCAATCCTAATATCTCCGAATCCCTAATCCCCAAAAGGTCTGGGGCTGCTTGCTTACCATCAGTTAATCCATTCGATCGTTTTCTGACCGATTAAATAAAAGAAAAGCGCTAGACATATATGTATATTATCTTTGCCTGGGGCCACACGTAATGGTTTGAAGTGCTTAAATTACCACGGCCTTGCATCGGAACAAATAAGAATGGGGTGGTTTTATGGCCAGTAACATTATGACTGTAATTTAATTATTTGCCACACTAAAAAGACAATTTTATAAACCTACTTTATGTTTTAAGTGAAGCAATGTAACACTTTGGTACATTGCTTCGTGATTTATATGTAAGTACATCTTTATATTAAACTGGATTTAGTAAGCAGCTTATCTAATAACAAGAATCATCGTAAAATATTATTAACTGTCTATTTTTAGAACTGTATTAGGTAGAAACTTGTTTGTTGTTGTTTGACTTCCATTTGACTGGGAGGTATCGCTGCCATCTTTAAGGCAATCTTTTAGTTATTTATAAGCATATAGTAGAAGTGTATTGTTTCAACAAAATGTTAATTATGATGCAGTATCTTTAAAGCAGAGTGCATATTTAAGGATTAGAGAAAAAAAGAAAATAAAAGATGCATATACGAATAATGAACAATGTATGAATAATATATGAATAAGTGTGGGAGAGCCTTGCTTCGGCACGAATGGGTCGGCTCGACCGGAGTGATACCACGGCCTCACAGAAAACCGGCATGAAGTAACCACAGCGTTGCGTTTCGCCGTGTGAGTAAGGTTACCCCCAATCCCTCCTCAATCCCTAAATCTCCAAATCCCTAATCCCTAAAAGGTCGGCAACGCACTCGTAAATCCTCCGTTGCGGGTGTCCATGGGCGGCGCTGATTGCTTACCATCAGGTAATCCGTGTGCTCGTTTGCCGACCTATCACATAAAATAAAAAAAAAATTGATTGAAAAAAATGAGATTGGGTATTTAGGGTCATGGTGGGACAGAGGGAAAGTTTTGGTCCTCCGGTAACCTCGCATACACAATGAAAAACAACACACGCCTTATTTTACACCGGTTTCCTGTGAGGCCGTGGTTTCTTTCCTCATCTTCTCGTACTCGACTCTGATCAAGCTTTAAGATCTATTATATCTTTATACCCAGCTCGAGCAACATGTGTATTTACTAGTAAGATTTTTTATTAGAAACAAGTAAATAAAACCGGTCGTAAAACCGCATCGCTGAGGACACCCCCTATGACGTCGAACTTCGATTTTACAGAGCTATTGAGTTGATAATAAGTGCAGAGTTTTATAGTCTATAAAGTTTTGCATATTTTTGTTTCGAGGTTAAATATTAATTAAATAATTATTACGGTGCGTCTGTCTCAATAAGACGTATGGTTGTTGACTCATTCACGAGTAAAAATCACGAAGTTATTAAGTTATTACATTGTTATTTCACTTGAAGTAATCAGTCAAGGTTTCATGGAAATTATATATGAAGAATAAATAAGATTAAGGTGTAATACCTATTATTTTTGTATCTAAAACATATGTTCATGAATGCAGTTAGTTGCACATTAAAATAAAATAACATGTACAGATCAGAATTTAAAACGTATCATTATTTTACACATACAGAGAGATACACGGTAAATAACAGCGTTTTAAAAAAGAAATCAACGAAAAATTTTTGCAATTAAAACTTACCTTTAAGTTGTAATCCTTATATCCAGCAGTTTACTTATTAGCAACCTAATTCGATTATGTAAGCTATCCACTTTCAAACTCTTTCAAATAATAATCGTGATCAATTTAATAACTATAGCAAAAAAATCGCCTTAAAAACGGCAACACTTTTTGCTTGTGACCTCTCAATCACAATGGAGTACATATGTACGTATTGGGAGCGATGATCAATACAGTCCTAAACCACTTAAGTATATTGAAGATGTATTTGTATAATATTGCCTACATCACACGTGAGTACCCACCTAAAGAGAAGAATGGCACGTGTAACCACAAAATAACATCACATAAGTAACAAGATCAACAAACAAACAGTTCAAACATCCTCAAAATAGTATTTTCATTTTCACTACAATGATTTGCAAAAACGATATTTACCAATATGGAGCTAACATCGGAAATATTGATACTGATGTGCCCACCTGGTAGCTATAGCTAGCAAGTCCTGTCCTGTAAGAACTTCGCGCCAGTGACACGGTATCCCATTGATGTTTGATAAAGTCATACACCACAGACTGTGAATGAGAACGTCGTGAGGACTTAATAACCTCAAATTATTAGTTTGATATCGCTAATCCTCTTGAACAAGCGCAGTAATTACTGCTTACCTCCGTGTGAGAAAAACCCTGAGCTAAGTAGAGGAAGCTTAAAAGCTAGCCATGACGTTGGTGATGATAAAATAATGAGAGTCTCTGCTCTGTTTAAACTAGAACCTTCTTACTGTGATCACCAACCCGCCTTAGTGTGGAAATTATGATCTCTAAATAGATGTGGCCATAGTCTAGCAATAAACGACGACTGCGACCTGGACTATAGATAAAATGATAGCGTGACTAAAGTAGATCCTAGTGGCAGACAATATAATATTAGCTAACTGGAAAATTTTCTTTACCATCCAACATAAATTGTTCAAAATAAAACATTAGCATGACATGAAAAACGAATTGAAATAAATAGAAATCCATAATATTTGTAACAAAAGAAAAATATTGTTATGTAAGTAGTAGAAAAATTCGCAATAATAGATTCGTCTCAAAGGACGCTTGTTTTTGTAAAATTATTTACGAAAACACATCCTTACAAAATGGGGTATCTCCATTGCGGTTGTGACTAAATATTGAACTCGTCTATGAATTAATTTACACTAAGACTGTGATTTCCAAAGTTTTCCATTGAACAATTATATTAATTTTAAATGCCTTTGCGAAAAATTATAATCTATTTCGTCCTCGATGTTGATCATGAATTGATTTTTTGTTTAAATTAAACATTTGGGTTTTTATGGTGTAGGTCGGCAAATAAAAAGATGGACCTACCTGATGGTAAGCAATCGGCGCTGCCCATGGACACCAGCAACATCAAAGGAGTTGTTGTCGAGTGCGTATAGGATATTTAAGGATTGGGAAGGGCTGGGTGATGGGGTAGGGGTTGGGCCTCCGGTGACCTCATTCACACGGCAAAACACAATGCTGTGGTTGTTTCACGCCGGTTTTCTATTAGGCCGTGGTATCACTCCGGTCGAGCCGACCCATTTGTGCCAAAGCTTGTCTCGCCAATACTTACATAGATAGAGCCTATCCTTAAAATTATACAAGCGAATTTACGTTCGTAAAAAATTAAAACCTTAATTCTATTGTAAAACATGACCAAAAGACTACTATTAGAACTTTATAGAAACAACTATTCCATTTATCTGTATCAAAATCATAATGTCGGCAATTACCTTTAGTAACGGCAATCTTGTGATGCTTATATCTGTTTGATCCAGTGAAAGCTAATACTCCATCCATTTAAACCCCATAAAGACTTTCTCTTTAAGTCTACAGGGAAATATAGTAAAAATTAATAGTCCGTTTATTTACACGTACAAACGTACCTACTGGTGTTCATGAAACCCTGGTCGGTGTTCGCCTTTTCTTTTTCCTGATTTCCTGTGATTATTGTGGGAATATGTAATAATTTTTTTAAGGTATGGAATATTGTCAAATTACTTGGGGCGACTGTCTAAAAACTACCCTGTTCCTTATCCTGATAATAATATCCTTATGGGATATAATAATATAATTGCTATAAGCTTACACTCACAACATGCGTTTGCCACTTCGATGTTATTATAGACAAGACCAGGACGATAAAATTATGATGTTACTTATAAACAAGAAGTTCTCAATCCACCGATACTACACATAATAAGAGCCACTGGTTCCAATAATATCATACGGTCTGATCACCTAAAACTTTTCCAATAGTACCTATAAACCTATGTTGGAATCGTCAGCAAACACCTACAAACTCGCATTAATTATCGAATGACCTTAAATGGTGTCAAAATGAGTAATTTGGTAAATCGATGGAACTTAAGGCAGAGGCGTTTTAAATTAAGAGGAAGAATTTTAAACACAAACTTTGTGCAAAGGAGTAATCTTATTAAAAAGCATTCGTTAGTTTCACCGACGTCCCGCTAAAGTAAAAAATATTTTTATTCAGCTTTCATTCATTCAGCTTTCTTGCTCTACTATCTTTCTTATTGAACCTAAATATACGTCATGTACTTACTATTAATTATATATCAAAGAAAAACTTTATATTGTTGGGAACCACAAATGTTATAAACAAGTAGGTACCTATTAGCATACTATGTGCAGAAAAACTTTGTAAGGCTTATATATAAGGCACATTGAAACAATACTTAGAGCAGTCAGTTCTGATAATTCGCAATCATGGCACCATCTAAGGTAAAATCATGGAGTTATTATAAATTTATTGTAACCAAGATTACTATCTATCGTGATCCTGACCCTTTGGCCTTTACTGCGAAAGCCTTGTAAATTTAATCCATTTTATTTCTATTTCAATCTTTGATTATTATTTAAATTATTTCTATTTTTAAACTATGATTCAAAAAGTACATGTTCAGAACTCATGTTCTTGCATGATAGTAATTATTTTTTTCTTGTTTCTCGTTGTGTATATATACATTACATAGGTTACAAAAATACCTTTATTCTTAATTTAAGTAATAGGTATATCTGTATTATTATAAATAGTCTTTGTTACGTAATAATATGATAACCTGGTAAGGAATCGGCGCTGTCCTTGGACATCCGCAATACCAAAGTAGTACTAACGCGTTTTTGGCATTTTAGGGGTTAAGGATTCGAGGATTGGGGATGGGGTAGAAAGTCGCGACACAACGACAGCGTTGTAAACACACCTGTGTTTTGATTAAACCATGTATTTCTTTTCAGGTTTTCTTCATCTTCGGTCTGTTGTTGATCCTAATTGTGGGAGTCTTCGCACAAGGCCGTGGTGGTGGTTTCGGCGGCCGAGGAGGCGGTTTTGGTGGTCGTGGAGGTGGATTTGGCGGTCGTGGAGGTGGATTTGGGGGTCGTGGGGGTGGATTTGGAGGCCGCGGAGGCGGATTTGGAGGTCGTGGAGGCGGCCGAGGCTTCGGAAAGTGATACCAAACGAAATTGATGATACAACATTTTATTTGCATACCATAAAGGATAAATGTAGTGTTCTGTGCAGCACAAGTGTGATTTAAATTATTAAATTAAGTGATGTTAACCAATTATACGGTTTACTGTTATTGACATTTAAGTGTTAAGTGATAAAAATTAAATTCTTACAATCATAAACAATTTTTTCATTTACTCTTAAGTGGTTTAAGACACAAAAGACTTAATTATATTTCATCAAAATATCCAAAAAACTAACCGACGCGACGATCTGGTATAAACTAGGTGATCATAAATACAGATGAAAAGTTCAGCGAACCAACAAAACATTAAAACGAATTCCGATTTTCACATGGTAACTTTATCTAAATTTCGCTAAATTAAAATTAAATAACCTCATAAGTACTAGGAATACATGAAAGGTGTTCATTCTGATTCTGATATTTACTGCAACACCTATATGAAACATATTCCTATGGAGACAAAAACGTTTGTATCTTATTCAAACTAAGCGGTTGCAAGTGCAATTATGTGCCACCACCTGGTTCGTAGTAGGTGAAAGAATGAGGTGGTTTTAAGGCAGTAAAAGTCTGACACTACCTCTCGCCATCCAGGGTAGGAGAGCAATTTGATGACTGTTGTTACACGGGGAGAGCCATGCTTGCGCACGAATGGGTCGGCTCGACCAGAGTGATACCACGGCCTCACAGAAAACCGGCGTGAAACAACCACAGCGTTGTGTTTCGCCGTGTTAGTGAGGTTACCGGAGGTCCAATCCTTTCCCTTCCCCAATCCCTTCTCAATACCTAAATCTCTAAATCCCTAATCCCTAAAAGGTCGACAACGCACTCGTAACTCCTCCGTTGCGAGTTGCGGGTGATAGATGCTTTTGTCATCACACATCACATCATCAGCCTGTAAATACCCGCTGCTGAGCAAATGCCTCTTCTCACACAAAGAAGGCTTGACCATTTATCTTTAGGCTTGCTCGAGGCGGATTAACGATTCCAAACTAATAATTTGAAAATATAAGTCCAGATTTTTTCACGGTGTTTTTCTTCATCGTAATTCAGTGGTGTCTATGAATCATAGAAAGCATGTACATATAACTCGCAAAAAGTCACATTGTAACTTGTCAGTTTTCGAACCCTGCACACACATGCATGAGAAGCGGGCGCTTCTGTGTCATAATAATGAATAATTACTTTAAAAAAGAAAATGGTATGGTACACGAAATTACTTGACTTACAGTCTTGCTAGTCGAAAAAAAAGCAGCAAAGCAATTACAATAAATAAATGATATCTTCAACATTTTCTACGTCATCAGTATCATCAAAAGCCGTAAGATCCTCATTGCTAAGCAAAAGCCTCTTCTCATTTGGAGATTGTTTTGTGAATTGGGTTTAGGAATAATCAACATATTACCTGCTTAAGACAGACTGGTGATTTCAAACTTATAGTTAGAAATTATAAGTCCAAGTTTCCTTACGGTGCCCGGGGTTGCGGGGTAAGCGAAATGAGGCACCGCCACCTCGGCCCAGAGCAAGGAACAGGGGGGTTTTTAGTCAGTAAGAGTCTGACACTCCCTCCCGCCCGGCCCTGGGCGGGAGAAGTCATTTGATGATTTTCCCTCACAAAAAAAAAAAATCCTTACGATGTCAGAAATTTTTCTACGTGTCTGGCCAAAACGAGCACCATGATAATAAACCTTTTTAGAACACGTAGTTTTACAAAGAATTACATAATAATAACAAACATGTCAATGAATTCTTCTCAATGTTCTATTTATAATGATGAACCCAAAATTACTAGAAATAGTCGTGTATTGATTGTTCATAAATTTGTAACGGATCATTCAGAATATGACCATAGAAGCAGGTCAAGTGTTTCTTTTTTTGAAGTATCAAGTGCACATTACGTTCAGTTTCACACAAAAAAATACCTAATTTCAAATGCAACTCATAGTTACCTTCAAATGAAATTATTAAATTATAATGAATAATATGTATACATTACTGCAGAATCCCACTTAACAGGTACCAAACAAAGGTCTACAATCAGAAAAAAAAATAAAAACATATCTTTACCCAAAAGTCTTAAAATGCCAAAGACAATATTTAAAAATAAGGTTTGCAAACAGACCAATGCTTTGACCTCGTAAAGAGAATTAAAACGAACAAATCAAATCTCACAAATCAAATCAAAACAACGAAAAACCCAAATTCGTATTGTACCTGATAAATATCGATACACAAATACCATAATCGATTTTAATGGATGTTATTGATATGGTTTATCCCCTTATTCGGACAAATAGCAAGTACCGATTATTTCGTAGTAAAACTCCTAGTGTTGGGAACCGCATACATTTGGTGTACCAATTAGCATATTAAACACAAATGAAAAACTCTGCTTACTTTGTAATACGGATATATAAGACACCGGGAAACAATACCAATGGCAGTCAAGTGTGATAGTTCGCGAACATGGCATCATCTAAGGTCTAATTAGTTTCTTATGTACCTTCATAACACATTTTCCGTGTCTCTTTTTAAGCGAAAATAATATTAAAATCAATCTACCGATTAATTATTATTTCCAAGATTAATAAAAGTGCTGTGCTTTTCTCCTTTCACTGAAAAGGTTGGTAGAAATTACAGTGTTTCCCTCATTCAATTCCAGGTATTGATAATCTTCGGAGTGCTAATTCTGGCTGTGACAGTCCTCGGTCAATTTGGCGGTGGGGGATTCGGCGGTAATCAAGGAGGATTTGGTGGTCGACCAGGTGGATTTGGTGGTCGACCAGGCGGATTTGGAGGCGGACCAGGCGGATTCGGTGGAAATCAGGGTGGATTTGGCCCAGGGCAAGGAGGATTTGGCGGGAACCAAGGGGGTTTCGGTGGGCAAGGTGGATTCGGTCAGGGAGGATTCGGTGGACAAGGTGGATTTGGTGGACACCAAGGAGGTTTTGGCGGTGGCCCAGGTGGATTTGGCGGGGGCCCAGGTGGATTTGGAGGTGGCCCAGGTGGATTTGGAGGAAACCAGGGAGCATTTGGTGGAGCCAGAAACCGTGGTGGCAGATTTGGAGGTGGCGGACGTGGTTTTTAATACTAGCCAGTGCCCAACAACAAATGCATGTCAAGTATGATCCATTCCCACTAGTTTATTTAAAACAATTGTTTTACTAGTCAACGTAAATTCTGAAGCAAAGTAATTTTTCCATCGTCGTCATTGACATTACCAAATAAAATGTAAATAGTTAAATTTTCAAAGTGTTAACGTTTTATGTAAATAAATATACGGATCGGCTTCTACGAAATGGAACTATTTAAGTAAGTGGAGATAATTAAATATTTATTCAAACCAGTGGTTTTATTTATTTTCTTGACTCTGGTCCAAACAAAATTAATATAATTGTTGATGCAGTGCCGCAAATAATCAGATTAATATGAACGATAACTATAAGTGCCTACTGTTGTGTAAAGGCCTCTTCTCACACAGTGAAGTTTGAGCGTTAATCAAAACGCTTGTCCAAGGCGAGTTTCAACCTTATAATTAGAAATTATAGGTCCAGATTCCTTAGCAATGTTTTCCTTCACCATTTGTCTGTGGTGTTTCAATAAACTTATATATTACGTACTCAGTTTTATGAAGAACATAAAAAGAAAGTACAGACAAGTCATTCTGACTAGGCAATATTCAATGAAGTACGTTTTTTTAATCTGAGCAATGTTGCGTTCTTGCACATATTGGTATTTGCTATTAAAATATATTCTGACATAATATTTAGTGTGTATAATTAATTTTTAATTTGCAATCATCATAATTTGAAGATATAATAAATAAAATATAAAAGTATTTCCCTCCCTTGTATGGGTGTGTAGCAAGTAATGTCATATGTAATGTTCACCGACTTTGCACTAGTCACATTATGGGACCAGTGCATAGAGGGCAAGGACTTGATGTGACACTTGACGTGATATATAGGGCACAATTCCAGACCCGAGCCCCAATAATACTTCCCGACCCGGGAATCGACCCTATGATACCTTACGACCAACGGAACGGTGGACTGACACTTCCTCTCGCCCCACACAGAAAGGGAGGTGTAATTGGATGTTTCCAAAAAAGAGTACTGTTTCGAACCCGGGCAAATTCCAATGTGACTAAATAACCTTAAAAATATATGTTTCTAATTATAAAATTATTTGGATACCAGTCATAAACATGTATAGTTAAGAAAAACATCGGCTACCTGGACATAATTTTAAATTTTAAGTTAGAAATACCCAATCCGCTTTGAACAAGCGTGCTGATTAATGGTCAAACCTTCTGCATGAAACAAAAGAAAGACCTCTGCTATGTCAGTGTTGGAATTTGTAACGACAATTCGCAAAAAAGAACTAGACTTGACGCTGGTGATATCTTGACGTACCTAAAGATTTAGATGGGTTTTACGTTTGGTACAATGATAATACTTACTGACTTAAAAAAGAAAAAAGGAGACACAAGCAACCGTATGCAGATCTCTTCCAACCTGCAAATATAGAAGACATAAAGTGGATGTACATAATAACGAGAAAAAAGGCAAAAATCTGTAGATGGAATGAGTTTTGATTAAGCTTAAAATACACTTGACCTGCATTAAAACCAGCCAGTCAAAAATAATTCAACGATTAATAATCAGAAGTAATATTTAAAAATTGGATCTTTAAAATCCGGTACCGTGTTGCTATGCAGGTTAACGCCTAGCGAAAAATATTTGTTCTTGTTCGAAAAACTCGTGACATACATATTATGCGAACATTTATTAGGATCATAATATTGTAGGTCAATACTAAACTGGTCTTACCATCAAATTTGGATATGAAACTGACCAACAAACCATATATATGCAATATTTACTTAATGATAAGCTTGCTATTAATAATCTTAAAATTGTCAACAAGAAAGAACTCGGAAAGTCGATATTTCACTTCTCCGATTGTTTGAGGCCGATGCAAATCTCAAGGCATATTTATGCCCTAAGGTCATGGTAGGCACCATGACGTGTTAAAGAGTGAATCTTCTGGGCAAGAGAGAGGGATGGAGCTATAAAAGTTGTATAGCTCCATCTCTCTTTCTCGCCCGGGAGACTATTGTTTTGGATCCAGAAGAAGAAAACGCCCGAGTGACGTCACTATGACAACCCTTAGAGAATAGTTGTATACTATGTGGTGTGCTGTGCATTGGCTCAGAACCACGGTGACCTCAGGGAAAAAATGAAATAATAAAAAAATCATTATAATGATTACAATAAAAACCGTGGGATAGAGATCCCAAATTCGCCAAATATTTTTACAGCTACAACAGCTATAGTGAAGTCGCAAAGTCATATAAAGACGCATCAAGGTATTTCAAATTACTCTTTTCTCTAGAATAATGTGAAATTTATGCGTAGATCTTAAAATTCCCATTCATTGGAATATTGTGAAAATATTTCATATAATGTATACGTCATTTGGAATTGTGACGCAGAACGCACGGATTCTCCGTTTTTTTATTATTTTATTTAAATTATTAAACTGAATAAATACACAAAATATTATGAATTATTCATCTGTTTTCATTGATACGCAAAATAAAGTTGAATGTTATGTATTATAGCTTAATCTATGAAAAGATTGTTAAGCAACCAGTATAAATAAATAAATGAAATAAAATAATTGAATTGCATTCTTGTCAGTTTTCTTTAAAATCCGAAGAATAAAGTAACAATTTCACTGCCATATTGAACTAATTAATCCAGATTTTAGTTAAAACATTCTTGTACCTGGAAATCTATCGGAGTCAGTAGGCTTATGACTATTTATACAGTTATTAAGTACCTGAATAATTTATGTATCACAAAGTCTTGTTATTTTTGGCACATTCTTGTTCGTGTATCAATAAACTTAGCACCGATTCTCAAAGTTAGTATTTATGTTTTTTTAGTCGCTAAATGAGTGTACTGTAACAGGGAACATAAATGTTAATTCATGCTATATCGTACTTTCCAAATGGCTTCAAACATTTTTGTCAAAATCGATAATAGTGTATAAATTTTGTCCGAAATAACAAGTAGCTTTTTTTTATAATAGTCAACTCATTTCTCTTAAATTTAAAAGAAACAATACAAATATTTTTTTATGATGAACAATTTATTTTTAGTTAAAGAATGTTCCTTACTGGCTGGGCTTGAGGTAACGGTCAAACAGCAATAAAAAAATATTTATTAATAATTATAAAAACAAAAAATAAATAGAACAAGACGCAATATACATAAAAAAATTAATTAACACAAGAATAGCTCTATATCACAATGTTTTAAAAAACCGTTAAGTCCTACAAACAAAGTAATAAAAACGTTGTTATTATTAAAATAAAAACAATTTTGTTACAGTTAACAGGGTTTTAATCAGTTAACGTATCGCTTAAATTAAACAAACATTAATTGACAACTTTACGAAAGTTTATATTATACCTGTTTATGTTTAGAACCGCTATAATTAATAACGTGAAATCCCAAGCCTATTTGGCGATATATATATAAAGCGATTTTTTCAATATACAAACATCAGTTCGTGTTTCGAGGACATACACAAAACAACGAAAAATGGCAAACTCAAAAGTAAGTCAAATTTTTAAACAAATAATAATTTAAATAAAAAAAAAGTAAATACCTGCTAACAATAATTAATAGTGACACAAATTTTTTATTGATTTATTTATTAAATTAATAAATAATATTTAGCTTCTTATTTCGATTTTTGTATCAGACTTTGATAATATTTATATTATATTACTAACTTCAGGTACAGAGCCAATTCATAATTATGCATGCAAAAATGGACCCAATCGTAATAAGATTTATTTTGTTAAATGGCATTTATTTCGAAGGTTCGTTTTTGCATACCAAACAAATTATTGGACACCAAAATACATACTTATGAACAATTTGTTTGTTTCCAGGTTACACTTTTGGCAGTGTTCTTAGCTGTGATTTTATCTGTCGCCACCGCACACGTCATAGGAGTTGGTGGTCTAGGAGTTGGCTACATCGGTGGTGGGTACGGACCAGGCTACGGCTATGGAAGGTACCCAGGCTACGGAGGATTCTATGGACCCAGCTATGGCTACGGCCACTACAGTTATGGTGGTGGCTACGGTCATGGATTTGGCGGCCCAGGCATTTACTTCTGATGAAAACAAACTTAAGACCCCTGCTTTAGAGACTAAGCCTTTGTGATACTTTCTATTTATATATTTATTTAAAATAAATATGTCAAACAAAACTGAGCTCTTTTTCTTTAACTTAAGAACTAGTTTATTTTAATCACATGCGACCATCGATCATGGTACCACCGATTTATATGAATTTCTCTTTAAAATATAACTTTCTATAAATATTAATTATTATAAACTGGTGGAGGATTAGTCATTTGATCGAACGTCGCTCGTGCATTTGTCATAAATTGTGACATAAGCTGTAGGAAAACACTTCCAAAATACAAAGCTACCCTGGATGCTCTTACCAATGAATTGTTGTTTAGCGTGAATCTATTTCTTGGTGGTTCTGGTTGAATGGAATTTGTTTCTATAGGTGCCCCCACGTTTTCCTCAACTGCAGGAGGACCAGGACTAGGTTGAACGGAATCTACATTTCCTCCCACTGGGACAGCTCTCGTTATGTCTGTAAAGAGACTAGAACCTGGGGGCACGACCATATTTGTAGAAATAGGAGGAATACCTTCTCTTGTTGGCGCAGGTGGACGTAATAATGGTATATCACTGATTATTGGTCTTCCAGGAGGTATTTGAACTTCTTGGATTCCTGCCGGTGGTGGCACACTACTTAAAACTGGAGGACTTGGGGTGATAACTACATTAGGCTGTTCTGATGGTGGGGATGAAATTAAAACTGGCCTGGGAGGAGTTCCTTGGGTTAACACTGGAGATGCAGGTGGAGGTAGAGGTGATGATATTATTACAGGTCTAGCAGTTGATTCTGGTAACGTAACCAAAAAAGGCGTCTGCAAAAGTCCTGGATCTTCTATTCTTTCGTAAACTGGTGCAGGTCGTGGCACTGGTTCCACAGAAAGGGGCACAATTGGGGGTCCTTGAGCTCCTGCCACCAAAAGATTATCTAGCACTTGCCTCTTCTGAATTACATGCTTTCTCCCAAACACTCCAAAGGGCGACCATTTTTCTTTAATGAAGCTTATTGGATTTCTTGGTAACGGTTTGAAGTTAATTTCGAAACCTCTTTGAAAACTTATGCCTTGGAATAATGGGATTCCGTTGGACTCTGACCACAGCACTGCCACAATTAGGAAGATCACCTGGGAACCAGATTTAAAAGTGCATTAAAACTCAGAACACAACACGAAAGTTAAACATTGAATTTGAACACCATAATGAAAATACCTCGAGAAACTTCGTCATACTGCAATGGATGCCACAATGAAAATCAACAGAAAGTAACAAAGTTGACTATAAATATCATCAGTATAGTTAAATTCAATGTTAGTTCACAATTGACAGTAATTATAGCTCCTTAACCTTTTTTATCTAGCACGCTACAATACTGCAAACCCCAAGGTTTGTATTGTATTCATAATTTCATTGCTATACAATTTTCAATTTTAAAACTACGTTTATTAAGTCAGAGTAACCTTTAAAATTATTTCTCTTTAATTATTAACTTTCCGGAAAATATTGTTAATGACAAATGAATCATATTTGCTTTGCCATCTTTTGAAAATCGCAGTTGTATTTATTTATATCTGCGCTTTGAAATAATTTTGGTAGCAACATAAAGCCAACTTAAAATTTCTATACTTACATTATGTATTTTCATTACCACGTTTTTCCTAATTACTTCGTGACATTTAAAAGCGCCGTAAATAGATTCGTATTTAAATGCACTAGTGTTTTTAATTTTTTTAAAGTTGCGGGTGCGTTTACAAACACACAAATTTACATTCACAAATATTGTTGTTTCGGGTCTAGAAATCTAGAAAGTCTTGTCCGCGTGGGAATCATCGTCATCATCATATCAGCCACAGGACGTTCACCGCTGAACATAGGCCTCCCCCATTGACTTCCAGATAAGCCGGTTGGAAGCGACCTGCATCCAGCGGCTTCCTGCGACCTTAATCAGGTAGTCTGTCCACCTTGCGGGTGGACGTCCTACGCTGCGCTTGTCGGTACGTGGCCTCCACTCGAGAACCTTTCTGCCCCAGTGGCCGTCGGTACTACGCGCTATGTGCCCTGCCCATTGCCACTTCAACTTACTAATCCGCAAGGCTATGTCGGAAACCTTTGTTCGTTTGCGGACATCCTCGTTTTTTATTCGGTCTCGCAAAGAAACTCCGAGCATAGGCCCTTTCCATAGCGCGCTGAGCAACCTTGAGCTTCTTGTACACAGCCCAAAGTAAGAGACCACGTTTCAAGTCCATAGATCATCGCTGGTAACACACATTGATTATAAACTTTCGTCTTAAGGCACTGAGGTATGTTGAACGAGAAGATGTTGCGTAGTTTCCCGAACGCTGCCCATCCAAGTTGGATTCGACGATTGACCTCCTTCTCGAAATTGGACCTACCTAGCTGGATCAAAGCCGCGTGGGAATCGTATCCGTGAAACATTGCACAGCAGCTAGTAGCTAGCTAGTTGCCCAGCCATTGCATCAACCGTGCAGTCGAACCATTGTACATAAACTAGACCAAACTGCATTTAAAAATAATGGATATATTGTTTGATATTCTTTTCTTTTCTTAAAAGATCGTATATGTTGTCTATATAATATCTTTGGTTTTCTTCCATTACATGCGACAATGCTCATTAAAAATTCGCTGGAATGTTATAAAAACTATCTAGTTCCATCTATACATATAATAAATCTGTAGAAAAGTAATTTTTGTACATTGAATAAATTGAAAAAAAAAATAGCCAGCGTGTTAAAGGATAACTAACCGAACCCATTTTCGTAATTTTTGTCTGTTTGTCTGTTTGTCTGTTTGTCTGTTTGTCTGTTTGTCTGTTTATATGTTTGTTTGTGCGCGCATCACGTAAAATCTACGAATTTAATGCAGACAATGCTTATATACAAAAATTCTACACAACTTGAGGTATAACTTAGTTTTTGTTTCATCGAAATCGGTTCACTCTATCACAAGATATGATTAATTTAGTGAGTCAAGAAGTAAAATATTACAACACGCATTTCCGTGCAACGACACCTTAAGACAAAAAATAGAACTAATGTTGATAGTTGATATCTTTATTCGATAGATGGCGTTGTGCAAATACGTCATGATTAACGATTATTAATGATTATATTAATGATTAAATGATTAATTAAGACATTATTGCGAGGATTTTTCATTTTCAACTAAAAGTTTTGATTAATCTACTTACAAAGGAGAAAGTTTTCAAGCAAGCAAAGCAAAGCAGAATTTCCAGACCATAGCGCAGATCCGATTTAACATGACATTTTTTCGCCTTTGCGAAAGAGACAATTTCGCCAAGCCTCTGTTGTACAATGAAGTGCCACATTATTATACTTACAACAAGCATCAAGGTGTTTTTAAACGCAGGTGATGTGGAACTGCTGTAGAAGGTGAGCCCGGCATTTTTAAAGAATACGTGATTGGAAGAGTATACACGGTGCACCCAAATAATGCAGAGTGTTATTATTTACGCCTTCTTCTTCACATAGTGCGAGGGCCTACTTCTTTTACTGATCTCCGCAAAGTGGACGATATAAAAATCCCTTGGCCCACGGCCTTTATTAGATGGTGATTAGCATTCGGATGATGCTTTAGCCGAAGCATGCGTCAGCGATAGTCCACATCGTCTTCGTCATTTGTTTGTTTTATTGACATTTTGTGGCCTATCGGACGCTGGGCAGTTGTGGCAAAAATATAAAGACGCGTTTGCCGAAGATTTTTTTAGACAAGAAAATAGTAATAGAGAAACTTCTGACCAAGTACGGGAAAACTGCTATAATAAGTCTTTGCTAGCTATACAAGATATAGTTATAAGTATAGGAGGGAACCTTCTTAGTCAATACGGCTTGCCAACGCCGACAGCTGGTGGGTACCAATGAATAGGGAGTGTGCATCGGAAATAAAATACAACCCTGAGGAGTTAGCAGAAATAGGGCTAAATGGCTGTTCAAATATGACGTCAGAACAGCGTCAAATATTTGATAGAGTATGCTGTAGTGTAGAAAATTCTTTAGGGGAAATATTGTTTTTAGATGCACCTGGTGGAACAGGTAAAACTTTCCTCACCAAAGTTATCTTGGCTCAAATAAGGAGCCAAAACAAAATTGCCCTTGCGGTGGCCTCCTCAGGAACTGCAGCCACTTTATTACCAGGAGGAAAAACTGCAAATAAAACATTTAAAATACCAATCGAGTCGGAGCGCACAGAAAACCCTGTTTGCAACATCTCTCGCAATAGTGATAAAGTTATGGAAGCTGTAGATAGAACGTTGCGAGATATAAGACAAAATGACCGACCGATGGGCTTAATGGTGCTATTCTGTGGAGACTTTAGGCAGACACTCCCTATAATACCCAGAGGAACGAGGGCCGATGAAATAGGTGCATGTTTAAAGAGCTCTTTTTTATGGCGTAGTATCGTATCATCCAATTTGAGCTTTAATATGCGAGCATATTTGGGAGATGACGCGAACGCGCAGGTCTTCTCAAATTTACTACTTCAAATTGGTAATGGTACATACACGACTCAAAAAGGTGTTAAAGTAACTTTAGTCGAGAGCCTGTGTTCTTCTGTTGCCTCACAGCAAGAACTCATTTCTTCTGTATACGGAGATCCATCAGAGATCTCGAACCATGACACTGCTTGGCTATGCCAACGAGCTACTTTGGCACCTCGCAATGACCAAGCAGCAGCAATCAATTCTCAAATATTGGTACATGTTTCTGGAGAAAGTAGGGAATATTCATCTATTAACACGGTTTTGGAAGAAGGAGATGCCACCCACTATCCAGTAGAGTTTTTAGACTCTCTAATGACACCAGGTGTTCCAGCACACAAAATGTATTTAAAAGTTGGTACTCCACCAATCATTCTACTCAGAAATTTAAGTCCTCCAAAAGTTTGTAATGGTACACGGCTGAGGGAAACAAGTCTCCAACGCAATAAATGTGCAATTCCCTGTAAGGGTCTGTTACCCCATGACCATACTTTTGATTGTTTTTCACACGGCGGACTCTATGTTTCTCTATCACGTGTTAGCAACCCAAACAACCTTTTTGTATATGCCCGGAGCATGTAATTCCACCGCTAATATAGTATAGGTATAGGGAAGCATTAACGTAATCAGCTATACCAAAATTACTAAATAAATATACTACAGTCAGGACCTTAAATAGCAAAAAAAAATTTCTTTCTTGAGTGGAGTTTATATGTGTATAGCCTACTGTTATATAAACGATGTTGTTTTGTTTTCGACAACCACGCGAACGAAGTCGCGGGCACAGCTAGTTAAATAATAAATTACGAAATTGCAATATCTATCTCATTTCGGTAATACGAAGTGTAGAGCAACATTTGAATCTTACATAGGTAATTGAGAAAATAGAATGGAATATTGCGTTGCGGTCAGATTTTGATTAGATGCTTCACCAATATCAGACATTGCTTACTAAATCAAACGTTCCATTTCACTTACATTTGCTATTACTTGTGTATAAGTATTACGGAACCTTTCTCCTAATATCTCAAGTGCAGTTTTCTTATAGTGAAAACTGACAAGGTCGTATTGATGTCACAGCCTTATTGACGTCAGCTACCGGTACCGGGCCCTCGGCCTAATTAAAAGGATCGGGATGAATTTTTCGTCACAGGGCGAGAGCAGCAATATGATATTTACTACCGTCACAACTTAATTAGTCATTCGACTAAAGCCCTTTTTTGATAGGGGAAAGTCATTAATTGACTTCTCCCGCCCAGGGTTGGGCGAGATGGAGTATCGGACTCTTACTGACTTAAAACCCCCGTTCCTTCTCCTGCTCTAGGCCGAGGCCACGGTGCCTGCTGAATCTAAAGGCCTGAATGATGATACTTGGGGTAAGAGGGAACGTTCTCCTGCCCTAGGCCAGGGCAGCGGTTCATTATTGCGCCTCTCATTGGCTGCGATATTCATAAATAATCTAGTGGTCTCCCGCCGCTTCGCCTGCGTAGATGTCGATTTTACACATATTCAAGATGTTTTTTTTAATTTAATTTTCTCTACGTACAAACCTTCCATGAATAATTCAAGACCAAAATTAGCCAAATCGGCAAACGCATTATTGAGTTATAACATTATACCTAAAAGTGACATTAACTAAAAATCGCGGGTTACTCACGTATACATATTGAGAAAAGCTCTACTAGTTTCGAACCACAGAGGGGTTCTTCCTCAT